TCCATGTGTCCCTTATATATGTTCCTCGACGGCCCTTCCCCTGTTTTCCCCCATTATCCCCCTTCCCCTCCCTCTGGTTGCTGTCAGTTTGTTCTTTATTTTCATGTCTCTGGTTATATTTTACTTGTGTTTGTTTTGTTGATTAGGTTCCACTTATAGGTGAGATCATATAGAATACATAAATTAGATACACTAATGTTTAAACTTAACACATCACAAACATTTTGGTATAAAAAAGGTGGCAAGTGTGCAATTTTGGAAGCAGACTGTTTCTTATCCCAAAGTTGCTTGCCTGGCTAGCTCAGATGATTGGACCACGGGACAAAGCTGATAAAGGTTTTCGTTTCCATTTCTAGGTAGGTCGGTTAGCATTACTCTATTTCATGCTCACATGGAATGGATAAATGACTTAGAAAGAAAATGTGGATTCATTACTGTGAATTCACCCCCTTTGCTGGAAAATCCACCCATAACACAAGTTCTAGGTTTATGCCAATCTCTGTCATTGGTGTCAGGATGAAAAAAAGAAAAAAAGAAAGAAAAATCCTGACCCTCAAAATACAAAAATTTAATGCTCTGTAGCTTCTATTTCCATGATGTAACATAAGGACCTGCCTTTTCTTTTGAGAGTTACGTTTGAGAGTCTCCAGCTGATCGCCTGCCTGCAGTCATTGCAAGCCTGGTGGGAGTGTGTGGGGAGGTGTAGTCGTGTTCTCACTTCGCTGGGAAATCATTGAGCAAATTGCTGCTCTTCTGTAAATCACGGTGCTGCATAATGCTCATAGTGAGAAACTATTTCCTTTTTCCATAAAAACTGCAGATAAAGGGTTTCGACAATAAATAACCTGTATTTAAAATAAACCAATTCCTAGAATTTAGAGAACACGACATACTGTTTCTCAGATGGGAATAAAAACAAATGCATTTTTATTACTAATATTAAAAAATGATATGTTCTCTGCTAAAGTCAGGTTTTCACTTATTTTATTTACTTTGTCGTTTTTTGAGATAAATGCATAAAGACTTCTGAGGGTAAAATAACAAGCTAAGTACTTATTTTTAGAAAGGAAAACAGCTAATTTTGGAAATCAGAGCACTTTAAGCCTAAGTTTTGTATCGTGAAGAGAACCCCACAATCAGTAATCAACCTAATTGAACATGGTATTGGGAGCAGTTTTTATTGTGCCAAGTCTCATTTACATGTCAGTCTGAAGGGAAGTACCTCGGCAATGTTAATTTTGTGTTAAAGTGATAGGCTCCAATTATAATCTATGGCCTTATCCCCACAACCTTTCTAAGAGGATCACACTCCAAATATGGTGAGCAATGCTGATGCAGCAGAAAGCATATAAAAGGACAAACGCCTCTGGTCTTTTCCAGGAAAACTTGGATAGTAGAACACAGACCTGGCTCATTTCACTTCAGTGGCAATTAAGATAGACAGGCCGAAGTGGGGAGTCAGCTTTCCCTCAGACAGTGAGGTCCCATTTCAGAGCTGCTTTTCACACACACACACACACACACACACACACACACACACACACACACACACACAAAGGGGGCTTGGAAACAAAAGTAAAACAGGTACTCCTAAATACTAATGAATATTAAGCAGACTTTCCCAAACCTAAAAGTTGTTATGACTAATAAAGAGAAAATGCTTCATGTTAGCTAAAATTTTAAAATAACAAATACAACAGATTCATATTAAAATTAAATTTCCTTATACATAGAACTAGCTATAACTAGATTTAAATACCTGATAACTGAATCCATAGTTAAATAAGATTGTGTCAAATCTGCTGAAGATTCAGAAAATAGCGTAAATGTGGTTTCATTGTTGCAAATGAACACTTTAAGGAAAAGGTTAAAAGAACTGTTATGATTCATTTTGAAGATGAGTAGAGTTAAGAAATGATTTTCGTCATTTTTTTCCAGCCTTTCTCAACTTTTGTTGCTCATCCAAACCACAGAATACAGAACATAATTTCAGTCACTATTTTTCCAGTTCTTCCGTGTGTGGGACGTAACTAGTACCGCTCTAGATACATGGAAGACAAGTCGGTGTAGTACATATAAGAATGCTTTTGGGCAACAGGGCTCCATTCTCTCTTGTAACAAAGGCTGATAACAAGTACATATACCGCAGACCATGAACTAATGTTGGCAAGTTAGCTGGAGTCTAGAAGATGTTTTTAAAAAGCAGATGTGTGGACAAGATAAAGGGTGGATTTCCTAAATACAAGTTATTTCGCATTATAAGAGTCTATTGAGGAAAATTACACAATTTCCTTCTCCCAAAGGTTTTGAAGGCAGGGCCGAGGCTCTTCTGACTAGAACAGGACGAAGGACATAACATCTGGAGCAGAGGTCCTGCTCCACTTGCGAAGAATGTGTTTGGTTCTTCTGGTCTTAGCTATGCAAATGTCCGAGTGGAGGAAGCCCTGGCATTTGAACAAAAACATGCTGATGCACCTAAGTGGTGGGCCAAGATCCACCTCTTCTCCAAGGAACTCATCTAACAACACAGAGAAATACCCATTTACTGGTGTCAGGGAAGGGAAAGAAAGAAACTTCACAGTAACAGACAGAGTGCTGATGCTAAAGAATTTTTGAGAAAAGTGAAACTGTATAGGGTTACTTTAGAAATATCTTTTGTCGTGACTTTAATATTAATATTTTCTTAAAAAATATTCCAGTTGAATCTAGAATACTACTTTGATGGCACAATTACCAATATGAACGTAAATGATTGTTATTCAGAACTACGAAAAGATATAGAAGACAAACTAAATAAGGCAGACTCAGTGGAAATGGTAGTAGTTTACTACCTAAAACTAACCTGATTTCCATGTCTATTTTTTCTGGTGAATGCAAACAGAAAAATTCTGAATATTCCAAGTCCTTTTTTTTACTACTATATTCTTTTAAAAAATTACAATTTACTTTCATTATTATTTTGTACTAGCTTCAGATGCACTGCGTGGTAGTTAGACAAATGTGTATACTTCATAAAGTGTTCTCTAATAGTTCCAGCACCCAAGTGGCACCATACATAGTTATTACAATATTATTGACTATATTTCCTGTGCTGCACTTTACATCCCAATGACTGCTTTTTATGAGTTAAATTCCAACTAATTGAAGTCCCACTATACATTGTTGCCCACAGTTATCTTTTATTCAATAATCCACATAATTATGATTCTATTGTAGAACTATTCATAAAGATCACTATTCATTGATGTGGAATATACATTTTAGGAGGGGGAGAGTTGCTCCCCCCTGGCCCGGGGGATGAGCCGTGTTTTTTTGTGTTTATAAACTACAAATGACTTCTTCTAATGTTACTTTTTATTATTGTTTATTTTTATTTTTTATTGTTTTCTCATTACCATCTGTCCCCCATACTCTCTCTCCTGCAATCACCACGCTGTTGTCCATGTACATGAGTTCTTTTGCATTTTTGTTTAATCCCTCCTCCTCCATATCTGCCGTCCTGCTCTCTATCTATGAATCTGTCTTTACTTTGCTTGTTAGTTGTGTTTGTTCATTAGATTCCACATTTAAGTGAAATCATATGGTGTTTGTCTTTCTCTGACTGGCGTATTTCATTTAGTTTAATGTTTTCTAAGTCCATCCACACTGTAGCACATGGCAAAATTTTCTTCTTTTTCATGGCCAAGTAGAATTCCATTGTGTAAATGTTTCATTGTTGTTTTATCCACTCATCTACTGATGGACACTTGTGCTGCTTCCATATCTTGGTGATTGTAAAAACTGCTTCAATGAACATGGGGTGCTTATGTTATTTCAAATTAGTGTTTTGGATTCCTTCACATATATTTCCAGATGTAGGATCACTGTGTCAAAAAGCAGATCCATTTTTCATTTTTTGAGGAATCTCCATGCTTTCCAGTGGCTGCACCAGTCTGCACTCCCATCAACACTGTGTGAGGGCTCCTTTTTCTCTGCGTCCTCTCTAGCACTTGTTAATTTATTGATGAAGGCCATTCTGACAGGTGTGAGATGATATCTCATTGTGGTCTTAATTTGCATTTCTCTGATGATTAGTGATGTTGAACATCTTTTCATATGTCTATTGGCCATCTGTATGTCCTCTTTGGAGAAGTGTCTCTTCAGGTCCTTCACCCAGTTTTTTTTAGAGAGGCCAGAAATAAACCCACACCTTTATAGTCAATTAATATTCAACAAAAAAGGAAGTACATGCAATGGGCTAAAGGTAGTTTATTCAGTAAGTTGTGCTGGGAGACATGCAGAAAAATGAAACTAGACTACTTTGTTGTGCCACACACAAGAATAAACTCAAAGGAGATTAAAAACTTAAATATTAGACCCCCAAACCATAAAAATCCTAGAAAAAAACCTAGGCGGTAAAATGTCAGACATTGCTTATAGCAATATTTTATCTGATGTATCTCCCCAGGCAAGGGAAACAAAATAAAGAAAATAAGCAAATCGGACTACATCAAACTAAAAATGTTTTGCATAGCCAAGGAGAACATCAACAAATTCAAAAGCCCACAGAATGGGAGAACATATTCACCAATATATCTGATAAGGGGTTAATATCCAAAAATTTATCAAAAAACTAACAAAACTCAACATCTAATGTTTCTTTAAGGAGTATTTGGACAAGGCATCCATCACACTGTGGGTACAATCTGCTTTCTTTGGCAACTTATCATCGATGTAAAATGAGAGTCCATATTGATCTTTGCTTATGCAAGCAGCTCATATGAATTCCATGAAACTGCAAGTGAGCAACAAAGGTCAAACTTTGTCTTCCAATAAAATAGTGGTTTGAATATTTGTAAATACTTCTTTTATAATGAACAAATATGCAAATATATCACTTACTTACATAAGTTTCTATTATAATGAAGTCAAGCTTGAAACCCTTAAAATAGCCCAAAGATGAATGAGTACATGAATAAAACTTTGCTTTGCCTAACTGCTGCCCTCTTTTCCATTTTCAGCTATTCAAGAGCAAGAAAATGAATCTGTGTCCCCGTCCTTAAGCCCAGACATCTCCTTAAATAAGTCACAGCTACATGACTGCCCAAGGGACTCTGGTTGCTATATCTCATCAGAAAATTCAGATAATGGCAAGGAGGATCCAGAGTCTGGAAATCTGACTGCCATGGTGCAGAAGATTGCTATCACAGAAGCCGGTGACTGAGCACACATTCTAAACTCTGCACCTGCAGCTGCCTTCCATGTTAACTCTTCTTGAGCTAAAAGATCAAATAAGAAAGAAAAGTGTTTGAAAATACAACCTAAAGTTAACATGTTTTAACATGAATGATTGTATATAAAAGTTTATATCTCTAAAATTCCCAATTATTGTAAATAATATATATATATTTATTATTTTATATGCTATATGTTAATGGGTTACATACATGTACTAGAAAGGTCTATTATAAATCTTTGGTGTCATGTAAGCTCATTTAGCTTTATTTTTTAAGTGCAGAATGATAAATTCTGCAACAATCCCCTCTTGTCTTCATACATGCAATTTTTGAATTTGTATCTATTATTGCATGAATAGCAGTAGAGTCTGTGTCTGTTTAATCAATTTTCCAAGCAGCATTTACATTTATTTTTATACTTACTGGAAAAGTATGAATTAATACTGGAGACATTTTTATCCTAATCACAGTGGAATTTTAGTAATTTTTTCTTGATTTCTTCACTGTTATCTGTTATACAAATATAGACAATATATTGTCAATTCTGTTTTAGTAAAACTAATTGTAATAATTATTTTAGTAAAACTAATTGTAACAATTGTACAGTTGTTTCACCTTTAAGTGTAAATAATTTTAATTTTAAAATGTCCTGATTTTAAAAATAAAATGAACTATGCTCATTTGGTATTTTCCAGGCCAGTGTCACTATTTTCATATTAGATATGTACACAAAATATCTCCGACCAGACAAGGTTTTATAATCAGTTCTCTCTCCCATATATATATAGAAAATTTCCAGATCAGTTTGTTTCCTGAGCCCCCAGATCTGTGTTATCAAAACTTCCTGAACACTTCTGTGTGTCAGTCAACCTAAGTTGCCATAACAAAATACCATAAACTGGGTGGCTTAAACAACAGAAATTTATTTTCTCACTGTTCAAGAGTCTAGAAGTCCAATATGAGGTTGCCAGCATGGCTGCGTTCTGGTGAGAGCTCTTTTCCTGGCTTTCAGATAGCACCTTTTTACTGTGTCCTCACGTGGCAGAGAGAGCTAGCTTCAGTGGGTCCACAAGTTAGGTGGGGTGAGGTCTCAAGGAATCACCAGGCAAATAGTGATAACCAGGGTTATGGAGACTCAGATATGGTACCTACCTGCTGGCTCTGTTGGAAGAGGATTCATCGAAGGAACATAGGCCTCTGTCCATTCTATTCTCTGGGAGAAAGCTGCCTCCCCAGACCCTGCCCTGTTTCCAGACACTTCAGTTCCTGTCCCTGCTGCCTTTCAAGCTGCTGTCCCAGTGCTGGAGTTTGGTGTGAGTCAGAGTAAGTTCATGTGTGGTTCCTTTCAAGGGACCACCTGGGACTCCAGAATCCCTCCATCTCACTCAGCCTGAATCGCTACTGGTTTTTACAGCCAGAAGTTTGGGGGACTTCTTTTCTCAGTACTGGAACTCTGGGCTGGGGAGCCTGCTATGTGGCTGGGACCCCTAGCTCCTCAGAGGCGACCTCCATAGCCCAGACATCCCTCCTGATATTTATCTGCCACACGTGGGTATGGGACTAGTTTGTTCTGCATCTCCACCCTTCCTACCAGTCTCAATGTGGCTTCTCCTTTAAATCCCTAGTTGTAGGACTTTGATTTAGGTAGATTTTAGGTATTTCTGAATGATGGTTGTTCCATAGTTTAGTTGTAATTTTAATGTGGTTGTGAGAGGAGGCAAGTACTGCGTTTACATACCCTACCATCTTGACCAGCATTCCTCTACCTCTCTTTAATAGTACCTATACCCAGCCAGTTACTGAAAGGAGAAAATCATTTCTCACTTTGTTTCACATATATCTTCTTCACACAGATTCAATGAGTAATCAAGCCCTATGCATCTCACCTTTAGAAATCCTCTCATATTTATGGCTTTCTATCCATTCTTATGACTGCTGTCTTGCTTTGTAACCTCACGATTACATGTGTGAAATGGTGTAATAGCTTTCCAACTGACCCCTGTTCTACAAGTGCCCTTCTTCTTAATCCATCATCCCCAGATCCTACAGAAAGACCTGTCCAGCATGCCAATCAAATCATGTATTACTCAGCTTGAAATCTATTGATGGCTTCTCATTGTCTTTAGTATAATATTTAAACTTTCTTCCAGGATACATAAGGTCCTTCTCAATCATTTTTACCTACATCTATAAGTCATACATTTTTTCTCATGCTTCTCACTTTACACTCTCCAGCCCTAACAATCTACTTGCAATTCCCTGAAAATTCACTATTTCTTTTGTGAATTTTCTTACATTATCTATTTTTTTCCTAGAATGGTTCCTGCTATTTTCTACATCCAGAAGCCGCCCTCTGTTTTTCTTCTTAAAGTTCACAAAAGTCACTTATTCTGTGAAGCCCTTTCAGGATTTCCTTTGGCGTTCTCCTTTTTGCATTTCCAGAGCAACCTGTATCTCTACTGACTATAGCACTTATACATTATATTTTATCTATTTGTATGACATTTGTCCTCCATGAGATGGTGACTTTCACCGTGGCAGACATTATTTTGTTTAGCCTCCTTAATCCCTGTGTCTGGTACACTGGGTACAGAGTGGGAGCATTTAGTAAATGTCTACTGGAGTGCCTAGAATATAATAATGATTCTCATATAACACATTCCATATTTATATTTTAATCAACCTACTCAACTTATAGGTGAATACTTTCCATTACATGAAAGGTTATTTTTTAATAAATAAGACATAAGATCTTAGGACAAATCAGGAAACACAAAGTATTATTCAAATGCTGGGGAACAACATTATACTGTAAATCTCTAATGTATTTTTCTACATCTATGAGCTTCAATCCCATAGGCAGAGCCCAGGTCAGGAGTAAAGCGCCTGCCTACTTCCCTCTCCACGGCAGGAAAGAGTGTTTCAATTTCAAACTTCCAACATGCTGTCTTCATCATCACCCCACTTCTGCTATGGTACCACTTCAAACTGAATATTCTAGGGATGTGTTGGACACAACAGGGCCACTGACCATAATTTTAAAATTTTACTCAACCTGCTTCCCCAGGGAGGTCAAGAGAGTACAATTAGTTTATGAAGATGCCAGAAAATTTTAGGTTCTAAAGAATTACTTGAATATAAAGTGGTGGAAATCTCCTGTGATGACACTCAGCCACAATTTCAATCCCTTCAAAATGATGTGATATGCAGTCAAAGATCCAGGGAAAAGCTTTTGAGCAGAAGTGCTGCAGAGGCCTTGAGGAGAGGGAAGCAGAACAAGAGAGACTGGACTCCTGAGAAGAGGAGTGGAGGGAGGAGAGTGGAGACATCATGAGGTTCAAGTTGGTGGAGAGATGCCGCCTCAGAGCTCAGCACTGAAGAGGACGCAGGTGAAGCAGAGGTACACCACAGTCAGGGAGCGCTGCTGCCTTCACAGTACCAACTGGCCCCCTGCAGCTCCAGCCTCAACCTATTTTTCAGATTTTTCTCCTGACCACGGAAAGCTGGATAAAAAGGAGTAGGAAGGTAGAGACTGGTGTAGCAAAAGCTGTAAAGCAGTTGAGGAACTTAGACCTTCTATGGCATGAGTCTGAGCCGTTTAAGAGTGAATGTGAAAGTAGCCCAAGAGTTGATTTTTTAATGTTTAAAGATGCTAACAATGGCTTTGTGTGTCTAGTTGAAACTTGGTGAGTCTTATTCTCATTTGTTTATTATTCACTCAATAACATTTAGATATGGAACACATATGCTGCCCAATATTATGCTAATAAAGTCCTTTTGGATCAGATCATCTGCATTAGAATTTCCCTGCAGCCTTTCCATTGAAATCACCTGACATTTTCAGTATAGAAAGTTATAAAATCATGCTGGGATGCAATGATTATTCTGATTCCAGGAATATTCAAATTCAGGCATGCTATGATGGTATGCATGATTATAGAAATTGTATTTCAGGTAAATAGATAAAATCCTCTTAGTCCTTTTTTTAGAGATTTTGTTTTTATTCATTTTAGAGAGGGGAAGGGATGGAAAAAGAGAGGAAGAGAAATATTAGTGTGTGCTTGCCTCTTGTGTGCCCCCTACTGGGAACCTGGCCTGTAATCCATGTGCCCTGACTGGGAATTGAACTGGCAACCCTTTGATTCACATGCCTACACTCAATCCACTGAACCAGACCAGCTGGGGCCTCATAGTACATTTTTAATAAAAGTAAAAAATCATATCATTTAAATTCTGGTTCCTCTCCCCCCATTCTATTGCTAATATAAACACAAATATATCTTCACCCTGAAGTATTTTTCAGAAGTTGTTTTAATCAATTAATTGCCAAGGGAATTAGTTAAATAAAACAGCTTTTAGAACTTCAAAAATGATAGGCAGCTAAAGATGATCAGGTTTTAGAGAACATCCAATTCACTGAGGTTACAGTCAAGTGCCTTGCAACTTCCTGAGTGAGACCAAATTGATGACATTTCATGTTGAGAAACTTCCGTTACAAGCATAAGTTCTGAGAAAAATAATATGAAGAAATTTTAGATAGTCCATCGTCCCACACATGCACGCACTTCCATCCCCCACCACAGGCAAAGAAACTGTATAACTAATCAGCATGCAGACTTTAAGTACTCCTTCATAGAGTGGGAAGTCATGCTAAAATTATGTAAAAGTTGAGAGCAAAAAAGAATAAGTACTAAATATAGGCAAAAGAACAGCTTGTAAATTTGTCCAGTTGTTTGGGGCGATGGAAATAAGATTCAAGTAACTCCCACTTTATGCTACCTCCCATCTTATGAATGAATTCATCTGATCACACCCAATTTTGACATGTATACACTGATTAGATATCCTGGTTTGAGGACTGTGTGATTTTGGACAGGTCATTATGTTCTGAGTTTATTTTTCCCCTCTACAAACTATAAATACTTGTAGTAATAATATTTCATATGACTACATTGCTTAAATTAAATAATGTGTGCAAAGCACTCAGCACAATGCATGCAGATTGTGCATAAAAACTGACATCTGCCTGGCTGGTGTAGCTCAGTGGATTGAGCGCGGGCCTGCAAACCAGACAATCACGGTTCAATTCCCAGTCAGGGCACATGCCTGGGTTGCAGACCAGTTCCTTGCAGGCCAGTTCCCAGCAGGGGACAGACGAAAGGCAACCATACATTGATGTTTCTCTCCCTCTCTCCTTCCCTTCCCCTCTAAAGATAAATAAATAAAATATTTTTTTTTAAAAACTGACATCTGAATGTGAAGTGGAAGCACCGGCATGGATGTGTAGTAGTCTCAAATTTTTCAGACACAAATTGTCGGAGGGCTTGGATGACTACTGTCCAGCAGCAACGAGAGAGAACTAGCAGATTTAACAGAACTTTGCAGATAAATGACCATGTTGTCATAATAGGATATTTCTTTGTCTACTCTTGACAGTGTAGGAAGAGGCTATGTTTTATTTAGCTTTAATTCCTCACCCTTGACATGGGATAGAAATAATCATTTTGAACACTGAAT